AGCTTTGCCTGTGCGTTATGTGATAGCATGGTGTTGCTCGACAGATGTCACATATCCGATTAGGGGCAGTGGTGATTGGGGTCACCGATTGTGGGGGTGGGTTTAGTTTCAGGTTTTTCATAGCATTTTTGAATGTAAAAGGATATTACATTTTTTGTTGATATTGATTGTACAATGCAAAAAAAAAAAAAAATTTAGACGTTAAAAACTTACACAATTAGGATTTTTGGGGGAAGAATTGATTTTGAATAGTGATATGATGGGAAATGTGTGGTTGAAAAAGAAGAAAAAAGTATTGATGTGATGGAAAATATTATTTTATTGAAGAATGTGTGGTTGAAAATGAGAATTGATTTGAGAATTGATTTGAGAATCAGAAACAAACAGGGCCTGAATGAAAGGCAAAACTTGTACATTGCGATTGCAAGGAGCCCCAGGGCGTCCAAAGCTTTGCCTGTGCGTTATGTGATCGCATGGTGTTGCTCGACAGATGTCACATATCCGATTAGGGGCAGTGGTGATTGGGGTCACCGATTGTGGGGGTGGGTTTAGTTTCAGGTTTTTCATAGCATTTTTGAATGTAAAAGGTTATTACATTTTTTGTTGATATTGATTGTACAATGCAAAAAAAAAATAAAAAAATTAGACGTTAAAAACTTACACAATTGATCTTTAAATTAGCCAAATTAATAAATTTATATCAAATTATTTTATTGAGACGATTACATGGACCTCTTTTAAAATTTTTTGGAAAGTTTCCATGCGGACGTAAACTATTCACTTCAGTCTCATGTCATATATGGGACGGAATTGATCTTCTAAACACAAGTCTTAAGCACCAGTGACGTGGCACACTACAAGAAGCAGTGCAAACAGTTTTATAATCAACAATTACTTCCCACCACCTATTGTAGTGTACCATGTCAATCGAGTGCACCGATACTTATGAGATCAGTTCTCATGCATAAGATTATAATTTTTTTTTCGTATTCGTCTATTCTAAGGCCTTGTTCGAACCACCTTTTATTGTACAAATACATTTTGGAATAATAGATTAAATGATAATGTGTTGTTAAAAAATAAGGAAATTTTTTTGATTGCGTGTAATATTATTTTATTGAAAAATGTGTGATTGAAAAGAAGAAAAAAAAATATTTTCAAAATAATGAAAATCAAACAAGGGCTAAATTTTAAATAAGCAAAAATAAATCATTTTGTTTTAAAAAGTTTAATGTTGTTGTACATAGTGATTTCATCTTAGGGCCTGTTAGAGCCCCTATTTTTTTTTTTTTTTTATGTATAATGTATTTTAAAATAGTATATTGATTGAAAATGTATTGTTAAAAATGAAAGAAAAGTTTTTGGACTGCCTGTAATATTATTTTATTGAAAAATGTATGGTTAAAAAAAAGAAAGAAAAATATATTTTTAAAAAATAGAGATCAAACAAGGACTTAGTAATAAAAGATTTATTCCCGTTTGAAAAATAAACAAACTAAAATTGTAATATTACTAGAAAAGTAATATTCACTAAGAAAACGAAGTAAAAAATCTAAGCCATGAGACTTTAATGTCAACTTTTTACTATTTCTTAATCGAGGAATATAAAATATATAATGAATAATTAATCAATTTTATTAAATCTACAATATATTTTTTTATTTGTTAAGGAGGAAGTCCCGAAGGCAACCTCCCCACATGTACCGTAGGTCACTTGGTCAGGCGGGTTGTAAATCGAGGGATATGCACGAATGGCCCTGAGGGAGAGAGCCAACACGACACGAACCCAACTTGAGTCAGGAATTGAACCTGCGTTGCCGGAGGATTTCTCCCCACGTCACCTCAGGCCTTACCTTGCCTATCCCCTTGGGGGCTAAATCTACAATATATTAAAAGGGATGATTGAAGAGAAACTTTTATATATCCGATTTACCCTAACAAATTTAGCTTTATACAAAATATACCCTTATTTAATTTTAATTTTGTTAATAATTAATTAATAACTTTAATTCCTAACATATTTAGATATATACCCTTATTTAATTTTAGTTTTGTTAATAATTAATTAATAACATTAATTCAATTTATTCAACGTGAAATAAAAAAAAATCTTTTCATTTTTCAATAATTTCCTAAATTAATCTTTTTAATAGTATATTAATTTTTATTAACAGCTTTTATTAGAAAAATATAACTTAAATTTATTTCCTCTGTTTTCTTCCCTCGGTTGAATTAGTCAGTTTAAAAAATAACATACATATTCCCTTATTTAAATGATTGTTTCATTGGATTGTCTCACTCATATCCTAACAACTAAATAATAAAATTAATGCATACCAAATGTTTATCTTATCAAATGTATAATTTGATAAAAAAAAATATTTTATCTTATATTTACCCTTATTTAAAAGTTGATTTAATTGGTAGTTACATGTGAATCTCTACCTAAGTTTAGATAAAAACGGAATGCCAAATGATGGGGTAATTATATTCCCACTAAAATTTTTATTAACAAAACAAAATTATAACTACAATAGATATTTATAATCTTTACTTTTTTTCACACTTAAGTCCTCAATTATTTTTCGCTATATTCTTATCATTATATGAAATTTAATAAATTATTATAACACTATAATATGGGTTAAAATTCTAAATCATCCACACACAACATTAACGTATTAAAAATTCCAATATACAGAGAAAACGGACGATGAAGAAAGATGGAGAGAGTCTGTTGTGGCTACATTTTTTTATTTCGTGTCATGAAGTGCTCGTGAAAGAGATTGAGAGATAATTATTTTTATAATTAATTGTAAATAAATGAGAGGAGAGATGCATGCTTGCTTTGTATTAATACATACACTATATAATAAACATAATTAAGATCATTATAACTATAAAAATCAATATTTCTCATTCTATAACCGTTGTCAGTAAAAGCAATTTGGTGTACATTAAAGGTAAGAACTGTTGTCATTGGAAGCAATTTGTTGAGGGCTAGAGCTTCTCAAAACTCAAAAATGGCCTAGATGATGCTTTTGTATGTGAATGTATTCATGTTGAGCATTGGTAGTGGTGGCAATCGAGCCGAGCGATCGAGCCGCGACCCACGAGCCGCTCGAGCTCGTCAAAAGATGAGCCCGAGCATGAGCCGAGTAGGCCGCTCACTAAACGAGCCGAGCTCGGCTTGTTAAGGAGACGAGCGCTCGTGAAAAAACTATTAAAAAAATAAAAAAAAAAAGCTAAGAAAAACTTAAAAAAAAAAAAAATTTAACGAGCCCGAGCTGAGCTCGCGGCCCATTGACATCACTAGGCATTGGGAACTTGGAGAAGCCGATTGCATGAGACAATTTATGCAAAAAATAAAATAAAATTGATTGTTTTGGTTTTTGACCAAAAAAAAAAAATTTATTATGCTAAAAAGATAATGTAGTTCTTTTTTTCTCTCTATTTTTATTTTTTAAAATTCTTTTAGTAATGTTCATCTAAATAATGAACATAAGTTACTTATAAGTTTGAATTAAATTTTTTTATTCGTATTTAAGAATTTGTGGAGCCATCTTTTGTTAGACATCTATATACCAGATCTCTTACCATCAACATGATTCATCTTTGGTTCGACGATTTATATTTTTTATATTTTTAATTTTATGGTTGTTATATGTTTTATTATTTAATAATTACTTTTAGGAAACATGAGAGGAAATTAGCATAGGTGCAATTATATTGAACTTTGGCAGTTAGAATTTTGTGAAACATGAACATCAATCACTTTGTATTGGTCTTTGACTAATTTTTATATTAAAACATATCAATAACATTTTTATTTCGTATGCTAGAAATATTAGAGACGAATACATCATCGTTGAAAATACTAAAAGAAACGAGGTCTGATTCATTAATAGATCAACAAAATGAGTTAGGTTATCAGTTTATTTTGAAAAATATCAACAAAAAATTATTTATATTCTTTTTTACAAGTTTAATTTTTCATTTGATAATATCAATTACCTCAACTATTTTAAAAAATGATAGTAGTACTTCAAAAATATTACACATACCATTCATTAGATACATAAGATGCGCAACGTGCTTACTACTAATCATTATAAAACACGTGATTTAACTATTTGTTTTAATATGTTAATTATTTGTAGGGATGGCTAAGCGTTGGGGGCGAGGTCATGGCTATCCTCCCTTCATTGTCCTATTCAACGATTTTTTAGAGGCAGGGTTCGAGGGAACGGACATGGATTGAAAAATTCATATTTATCGCAGAAAAAGAAGAATATAATTTAATAAAATAAAATATATAAACAATTTTAAAATTGTATAAAAGGGTAAAGTGGAATATATGTATAGTTGCGTGAAATAGATTGACTATAGGACCAGTTCAATTTCTAATTTTTTCTTTTAACAAGTTTAAAATATTTTGAAATTAAATAAACGAGTTTGATGATTTGAATAATTGGCAGTAAATATCAATAAAATCTTCTTTTAAACGAAAATTGCCATCTCTATCGATGTAATCCTTATCTCCAACTCAAAAAAATATAAGCCCATGTTTTATAATCGTTATAATGATTTTTTTTTTTTTTTTTGGAAAATGAGTTTCAGAATAGTGATTTTTTGGATTTTATGTGTAAAATATTTTATCGTGAGAATGTGTAGTTGAAAACGAATTTGAAAAAAAATAAATTATATTTTAATGATTTTCAAACTGAATTAGATTTTTTTTGTTTTTTAAATGAATTATTCTATCATATGTTTGATTTCATGTTATAATATTATTAAAAAACAAATAGATAATGATGAGGTAACGTTACTGGCTCTCCTGTTGATGAAGAAAATGAAAATAACAGTTGTGGCTGCATTTGATTGTGGTTGCCTCTCGAACTCTCTCTCTATCTTTATTCAACTCGAACATTCATAAACCCCGACCAACAAGGCCACTACGCACAGCACTACAGCAGCCGCAGCGTCAAAATTTGGTGAATATGGTTTTATCTACGGTACTGAAATTCATGTACCCGCCGCCGTCGAATCTATTTGTGATAGCGACGTCTGCGATAAGTATACTGTTGACAGTGAATTCAGGAATCATGGAATTCAAAGGGAAGCACACGCAGTACTCGAAATTATGGAATTTTGGTGTTGATCAGAAAATTGCTGCTCATAAAAAGGCCAAAATCTCCAGTAAAATTGGCATGATTTTAGGGTATACTCCTGCATTATTTGTCGGAGTTGGCTCTTTTTTCCTCGCACCGGTTGGGGATTTTAGGTTTGATTTGCTACGTTCGGCCATCACTATTCATTTCTTCAAGAGGATCTTCGAGGTACTCGCCTCTCTCTTATCTTTCTCTCATACACTCCCACATACAAAATTAATGACATTTTTGTGTAAAACTTACATCAACACTTCCATATTTATATGATGGAAATGAAGTCAATGTTATGTAATACAGTGCTGGAAGAGCTAAAAAGTTTTCATAGAATGAGTGGAGAAGAAGTAATTACAAGTGTGGTCTTAAGAAAAAGTTCTATGTAAACTCTACAACGCTCTAAACATGTTTGCGTGATTTTATATTAAGCATCCGTTCGAACCATATTATTTTGGAAGAATATATTTTGGAATAGTAGATTGATAGAGAATGTGTGGTTAAAAAAGAAGGAAAACTTATTGATGGGATGGAAAATATTATTTTATTGAATAATGTGTGATTGAAAATGAGTAGAATAATGAAAATGAAAATTTTAATGTGACTCAAACAGGGCTAAGCACCTGTTTGAGCTTCATTTTTTGCACTCGTTGAAAAATGTATTTTGAAAATATCGAGTACCGAACAAGGGTTAAATTACATATTCGGACTTGATATAAACTTCAACGATCACTCGAATCCCCGTTTTATTTTATGACAACCCCCGTAACAACTTACTATTACTTTGAGCTCATAATTTTCTCTATGGATGAATATTCTTATTCATTTTATTCTTTATTTTGAGTGGTAGGTGCTGTTTGTTCACAACTATAGTGGGTTCATGGACACTGAAGCTGCAATTTCAATCTCTATTGGCTACGTCGTCTATACAGCCACCACGATTTACTCTCATTATCTAACCCTAAGATTTCCAGAACCCCAAACTGACCTCAAGTATGTTGGAGCCTTATTGTTCTTAGTGGGAATTAGTGGCAATTTCTACCACCATTACCTCCTCTCCAAATTGAGAACTAAGGATGAAAAAAATTACAAAATACCCCAAGGTGGCCTCTTTAGTTTGGTAATATGTCCACACTATCTTTGCGAGATCATTGGGTTTTTGGGGATTTCATGCATTTCCCAAACATTATATCCATTTTGTTTTGCAGCGAGCTCTGCTTTCTTTTTGATGGGAAGGAGTTGTGCCACTAGAAAATGGTACCAGTCTAAGTTCGAAGATTTTCCCACACATGTAAAGGCACTAATTCCTTGCATATTCTAATAGCATGGTGATGGATCATCACAAGTTGGGAGAATAATATCATTGGAAATTATGTTGTAGCATTTGATAAGTTTTCGCTTTCTATGCTATTGTTCATCGTAAGCGAGAAGTGTACCATCTTCTACCTCTATGTTACATTGAAATTCCGCAAGCGTATCATTCCATACGGAATAAAACTCAACTAGTGTATTTGATATATTTAAACTCGTGATTTTAGCAGAAGGCCATTGGTTTGTAACTAATTATGTTTTATAGCTATGTAAACAATAGAAATTGGTTTTAAATCAAATGTAGGTGAATGTATTGGATTTCCTTCTCCACTAATCAACTCTTAATTCAAATTCTCAACTTGTGATAATTAATTCAATTCATGCAATTGTGATGGTCGATAATTTCACTTTTATTTACTATTCTTTTTCAAGGCATAATAAACCTATATGTACTACGAAACTATCATATTCTTAATCCAAATTCATATGACGAACATGCATTGACGTTTAAGATTATCACATACAACCGTACATGTCATGAATATTATTTGTAATATTTATTGTCCGTATGTTCCACAGACAATGTTCTATCTATCATGACTTTTTCAACATTACGAATAAGCAACTTATTGCTCTAATGGTATGCAAACATTAGAAAAATGTCATTATGCATATTCATGGAATCACAACGCGGGAATTAAACTAAAAACACAAAGTCTAGAATTAAAATCTAAGAATCAAAGAGTTTTGTCATCCATCCAATACATAAATTTGTTTAGCCTAGCATCGTTATATGAAAATTACATATAAGAATAAGAAAAGACATCATCCCGAGGCGAATAGGTGATTACGACCTATACAAAAATTTGTACAAAAATTTATTGCGTAGGCATGGTACAAAAATTTGTATAAAAATTTTTGCATACAAAAATTTGTACAAAAATTATGACCTTGCGTAGACATCATCCTCAAATAGAGTGTACACATAGTACACAAAATTTTGCCTTAGGTAATGCATATTATAACCTTGTGTACGCATGGTACAAATTTTTGGGACTTTTTCACTTATATAACTTGATCATTTTCGACAATTTCTCATCATTTTGACTTTTTTTTTTCAATTTCATTTTACTTTTGGCATTCTTAAATCATCATTTTCCATTCCGACCCAGCTTTTGAATTATTGCATTTTAGTCTCCGAACTTTGTATTTAATGCAATTGAGCTCTCTTTTACTCTCATTTTCCTTACTCCTGCCTCTCTCATTGATTGTTATCTAACAAACAATATTTACATAGAATTAAGCCATGTTTCATATGATTCATCAACAAATAATCAAATTTAATGGCCTAAATAAGTGTATAGAATACACTTATCACTCTACGAGCCATTGATGCTAATCAACTTGCTACAATCCTCCCTTTACCCGGACATTGAGATTTGATTAAGTTTAGAGCTAATAAAATACTATATACTTAAAAAAATCATTCCAAATCCATCTTTAAAAATAAAATCTAAACTAGAATAAACATATATTGTTTGAAATAATACGCAAAAGTATAGAGGCAGAAATGATTAATATAAAAAGTTCTTTAAATATAACATTAAACAATAATCTGCAGTAAGTCACTATAAATATATTATTTATAGTCCATGCTCATCAAGAAAACTTTGAGAGTTCGAATAATTTTGGATACTCTAGCGATCTGATAAACACCTATATTTTTTTGTTATGGGAATTCCAATTTGTAGCATCAATTATAACGAGTAATAAAAACGTACACACTTTACCATTTAAAGTGACTACCTGCCATCCTACCTCCTCGACCTTTTTGACAGCGCATCTTTGTCTCTACCATTGAATCATATGATATGGAAACTGATCCTACCCAAATTTGCACTTGTCTATGCATGATGTCAACTGGGAAAGGAGGGAGCAAGACCCCACCTCAAGCATATGGCTTGAACAGGTGGGCTCGACCTTGATTTGATAGGATAGATTTGACCTTGATCTATTGAGATAAGGTTGACCATGACTTGGTGCTTTATGCTCCACTTCAAAGTAATGAGATAGGTTCAACATTGAGCTTATGAGATGTGCTTAACCTTGAGCTTATTATCTAGAAGGCATAGGCTTGATCTTAGGATTGACCTTGGACTACTAGAATATGTTTGAACTTGATCTCAGCTTCTCAGCATCTACAATAAAAATGTTGAGTCGTAACCTCACTGCTCCTTTGATGCTCATGCTGGTGAACGAAGAGAGAACATTAGTGTGAGATTATAAACTGAAATAACGATCATAAGCTATGTATATTTAGTGTTTTTTTGGTGTAATACTACAATGATATGGCACCTGCATGACCATATAATGTGATGATCTAGGAATTTTAGTAGATTTCTGAGACTCTTGGTGTAATTGAATGTAAGAGTTTTAGCAGGGTTGTGTTTGCTTGGTTGAGATCTATTATTACTATAATTGTATTAGGTTGATGTTGGAAAGCTGACCTTTATTTTTTAGGGAGCTTGTCTAGCACGACCTTGAGCTAGTCTAATTCCTTGGAGCATTACCCTAGAATAGGGTTATACCTCGACATTGAGGTCCTACCTTGACCTTGAGGTTATATTTCGACCTCGGGGTCGTATTACGAATATCTACTTGAAGTGAAAAGTGGAGACCATGGATTAGAGATGATAGCCCAATAATGACTAATCAAGAAGGGGATGAATTGATTTTTAATTTTTTTTTTCAAAAATTAATCTTATATCAAGCAATTTAAGAACAAATAGATCAATCAAATAATAAGGGTAAACAAAATAACAGTAAGTAAAACAAAAGAGAGAATGAAAACGATATAATTATGGAGGCTCGATCAAAATCAATGATCTACGTCCTCCGTTACCAAATTCTTCATTACGAGCAATGTCTTTTCATTATATTGACTGACTCATGGTGCAATCAAAATCATTACAACACTTCCGTTGACTTACGGAGCATCGATCCTTATATTATTAAGTTTTCAAGGGACGTCAATATGACCGACATGTTTAAAGAAATGATTTTACAATGAAATTTTTCTCTTAATAAATGATAGCAATAAATTAAGTATCAAAATATACTAATACTTCAATGAGTAACAATAAGTAATAGCTCAAGTATTAGATGGAAATTTTGATGAATGTGATAATTTAAAAGTTTGATTCAATCAATCAAAGTTTTTTATACAAAGAAGTAGAAAAAAAATAAATGCAGTGTAAGTTCAAATATTTATCTCTTTAATGCACATGAAGATATTACATTGATGACAAAAGAGAACATATTTATAAAGGACAATTTACAAAACTTTCTTTAAGTTCAGATGATAGATCGATTGATCAGTACAAGTGCGGATACCCAAAATATAGCTCAAGCATAGACTAGACTCATGTTTGGTAGAAATTAAAATTTATATTTTAATTTAAGTCAAAATCAACAACTAATTTTAACTACACGTCTCAAGTGATGCACAACTTTTCAACCACACGTCTCAACGACTTTTTATCAAAATCTACCAAGAATTTAATTTTAATCCCTACAAAAACAGGGGCTAGATAAGGTACCATGCCATTATTTGAATCCACGACTCAAATCACATAATATTTACTTTATATTTTATGCATATATGATCGTATGTGCATTTTAATCAAACTGTGAGTTGACATGAGTGTTGGAGGATCTTCATTGTGCAATCTAACATCGATTTAAAACTAATTATTTTGTAAGTAATGACTCAAATTAACAATAATTTGAGTTTCTCACACATTTTGATTCTTGGCGAATTTTTATATCAACATTTTTACAAAAAAATATATAATAATTAAATAAATATATCAGATATATGAATTTTTTACAATATCGAAATATAGCCCCTGTTTGCCCCCCGTTTTATCACATTTCATTACATTTTTTTGGCATTAGTCAGCAAGTCTTTTTGACAATTATGTGGTCCATCCTTGCCATGGGCAGAAATCTTGGCAGGCACAAAGTAATTTCAATTGGACCGTTGCACATGGCTCTTACAAAAACACCCTCAATTGTCAGTGCACAAAGACGAGGTTACCCTTCAGACAATCTTTCAGCCTACTATTACCTTTGAATTTCGGACCATAGACATCCTCTCACGAACAAACACTCGCCGTCAGCGCGACAACCAGAGAACAACTCAAGCTCTTCTCCGACCACAAAAATCACGAACAAACACTCGCCGTCAGCGTGAGAACCAGAGAACAACTCAAGCTCTTCTCCGACCAAAAAATTGGGACTTCGCCTCGATGGACGATGACTTCTCGCAATGGGGCGCCTACACGCAGACCATGGTATGTATCTATTTCATTTTCCTTAATTTTTTTCGGAGATTACGTAGATTGATTTGAAGCTACAGACCAAAAAAAGATTTCATTCAACTGTCGGAAAAAAAATGATTCACGAACCAAGTGTTGTTTTCCAGAGCTTCACGACTCCGGTACCGGATCCGGTGCCCGTTGACACTCCCAGCCGTCGTTCAGGCAAGAAGACAGACACGCGCAAGTGTGCAAGGTGGTATCCCCATGAACACCATATTTTCATCAGAGTTGCAGAGCACGTAACTGTCGAAGGACATCGTCGGGGAAAGTGTTTCTCGACTACCGGCTGGGAGCTCATCCGGGACCTGTTCAACCGGCAAATAAGTAATGACTCAAATTAACAATATTTTGAGTTTCTCACACATTTTGATTCTTGACGAATTTTTATATCAACATTTTTACAAAAAAATATATAACAATATATGAATTTTTTACAATATCGAAATATATTGTAGAATAGAATTGATGAATGCTTGTGGCAACGTGGTGGCTTCTTCTCCAGTTTAGGAAAAAACCAACTCTTTTGGCTGCGAATATCGTCGCGTGTATACATACAAACCATTGGATCTCGATTCGTCTCGTCCACATTTTTACACGCGTAGTTCCGTTTCTTAATTCTCTCTCTCCCTCGAAGAAGTCGCACATAAATCCACCCCACACCGCCACCGTCGTGTAGAATTTGGTGAAGATGGTTTTATCTGTACTGCTGAGATTCATATACCCGCCGCCGTCGAATCAGTTTGTGACGGCGATGTCTGTGATAAGTTTAGTATCGCTGGGGAATGCAGGAATCATGGAATTGAAAGGGAAGCACATGCAGTATTCGAAATTATGGAATTTTGGCGTAGATCAGAAAATTCCTGCCGATAAAAAGGCCAAAGTCTCCAGTAAAACTGGCATGATTATAGCGTATACCCCTGCATTTCTTGCCAGCGTTACCTCTTTCGTCCTCGTACCGGTTGGGGATTTTAGGTTTGATTTGCTTCGTTCGGCCATTACCATTCATTTCTTCAAGAGGATCTTTGAGGTACTCTTGCGACCTTATTTTTAAATTTTTAGGATATTTATATATCTTGTGAGTATTTTTTACATTTGCCTGATTTTATTTTAAATGAATGTGTAGATAATTGTAGGAGTCGTAACTCGTAACCATGTCATTTTGCTAATTATTTGGCACTGTGGGCCAGTGGCTTAGTTAAGTAAGATAATGCTTGTTTGAAATAGATTTTTGATAATTCATTTTGTAAAAGGTGACAATTTATTTTGTTCGGAGAATATTTAAAAATGAAATTTGAAAGAAAAAATGATATTAAAGAAATATGTAGCAAACATGGTTCATATATATATTTTTTGAGAATTAGTTAAAGCGGTGAATTAAATGAAAGCTAGGAATGAAATTATTTTGGAATATATTGAGATATTAGGAGGTTCTTCTTCGAAAATTCAATTGAGGGATCAAAGTTTTTTCGAATGAACATTCTTACTTTTCATTCATTTAAATAAGAATAACGATTCTATATGCATCTTAAGTGGCTAGCGCCTCTGTTTGGGAAGGATTTATAAACGGTTGAATTTGTATATAATGATTCTAATTCCATCTTAATTCATATTATTTCTTTTGCACACACCAGCATGCACATATATATGTAAGTCCATTCTTGTTCATCTTATACTTTATCTTGGTTGGTAGGTGCTGTTTGTTCACAAATTTAGCGGTTGGATGGACACGGAAGCTGCAACTGCAGTCTCTCTCAGTTACTTCATCAACTCAGCCACCACGATTTACTCTCATCATCTAATCCAAGGACTTCCTGAACCCCAAACAGACCTCAAGTATGTTGGTTCCCTATTGTTTTTAGTGGGAATTAGTGGCAATTTCTACCACCATTACCTTCTCTCAAAATTGAGAACTAAGGGTGACAAAAATTACAAAATTCCCCAAGGTGGTCTCTTTAGTTTAGTAATATGTCCACACTATCTTTTTGAGATAATGGGGTTTTTAGGGATTTCATGCATTTCCCAAACATTATATTCATTTTGTTTTACGTTAGGCACTGCTTTGTACTTGATGGGAAGGAGTTGTGCAACTAGAAGATGGTACCAGTCTAAATTTGAAGATTTTTCTCCTCCTTTCAACATTCAGCTACACCAGTAACACCACCTAAAAATCATAGAACCCAATTCCACTATTTTTTCCTGCACGTGTATTGCCTCTGTAAATCCCAAATTTGAAAAATCAAAGTTCTTTATTAATAACTCCACAACTTAGGATAAATAACAAATTGTCATCAAATTCCCAAAAATTAAACAATCAAATCTCAAAAATTGGAGCCAGACAGAGAGAATAAAAAATTCAACAAACAATCAGTTCTTTTGCTGCTAAGAAAATTGGAGGATTCGTTTCTTACATCCCACTCCCTCGCCCAAAGAGAAAATCAAAAACAAGAAGATGAAGATGAAGACGAAGAC